GGCAGCTGCAGTGGGCTGGAGAAGGGGCAGAGGGGCAGCTGCAGGGGGCTGCAGAAGGGGCAGAGGGGTAGCTGCAGGGGGCTGGAGAAGGGGCAGAGGGGCAGCTGCAGGGGGCTGGAGAAGGGGCAGAGGGGCAGCTCCAGGGGGCTGGAGAAGGGGCAGAGGGGCAGCTGCATTAAGGAGCAGGAAGATCTTAGCCATGGTTTATTCATTGACTAAGCTGGAATCAAACAGCATGCTAAACTCTGAACCAGAATGGCTTGGTTGATATATTCAGCCCATGTTTCTCAGCCTTGGCAACTTGTGTGGACTTCAGTTCCCAATCTGGCTTTGCTCTACTTTCCCAAAGTGCTACCGCTGTCGCATTCTTTCTGTCTGTCTGTCTGTCCGTCCATCCATCCATCCATCCATCCATCCAAAAGATCTGCCTGTCTGTCTGCCTGCCTTTCTGTCTACCTACCTACTTACCTATCTACCAATATAGATCTATCTATCTATCTATCTATCTATCTATCTATCTATCTATCTATCCATACATACATCCAAAATGTCTGCCTGTCTGCCTGTTTGCCTGCCTACCTGTCTTTCTGTCTACCTACCTATCTACCTACCTACCAATATAAATCTCCCTACCTACCTACTTATCTACCAATCTTCTTACCTACCTATCTACCGATCCATACATTCATCCAAAAGGTCTGCCTGCCTGCCTGCCTATCTACCTATCTACCAATCTATCTACCTACCTACCTACCTACCTGTCTCTCTCCGTCTCTCTCTCTATATATATATATATCCACCCATCCATCTATCCATGTTCGAAGCGCCAGCCCCGCAGGCACATTGAGAAAGTGGAGCAAAGCCAGTCTGGGAGGAGGGAGGGAAGGAGGGAGGGAGAGAGAGAGAGAGAGAGAGAGAGAGAGAGACCTGATGCATCAGATTGAATGAGGCCTAGTTTAGACTGAGGCCCTTTTCCACATTGAAACATCTTTGCCAGCACATTGAAACCTCTTTGGCTTCTATTAAAGGTTTTGTGGACAAAACATGTTCAAGACTATCAGGAAGCTCTCACATTTTGTTGAGGCTTTAAACAAGATCCATTGGACCAGATCTCCACCCTAAAAATTACTTTTCCCCAATGTATTACAGTGCAATTCTGAAGAAGGCAAAACCAAAATGTACTAGTAAATTACAAAGAGAACACACTCTCCCTTCTAACCCTGCTGGAGCAGGTGATTGGACTAGAATAGATATCTCATTATCTTTCGCCTCCCTCCCTCCCTCCTTCTTTATTTCTTTTTCTTTCTGTCCCTACCTTCCACTCACCCCCATTTCTTTGTCCCTTTTCCTTTCTTTCCCTTTTCTCTTTCTTTTCTTCCTTCTCTCTTTCTCTCTCTCAGGCTCACTCCATTGACTTGGTGCACCACTCCTCTCGGACTTGCTTGGGCAGGTCCCTCCAGTGCAGCAGGCTCAATGGGGTGGACCTGCGGGTCCAGCACCTAAAACGCGGCAGTAGCAGCACATTTGAAAAGTCGAGCAAAGCCAGAGGTCAGTAATTTTTGCTGCAAAGAATCACAAAAGCTTCTGGACTGTGCATAAGAAGGGACACATATGTCAATGCAATTCAGCAACATAAAATAAAGAAATAAAAATAAAACAAATAAATAAGAATCAGCAAAGCATCTCTGATTAGATTTATTCACTACTAGAATCTAATCAGAGATGCTTTTCTGATTCTAGTCCACTGACCTGCTCTTGCAGGGTTAGAAGGGAGTGTGTGTGTACGTGTATGCATGGCTGTCAAAACTCCAAAAACAGGTCAAGTAGCTCTGGGGAGGCCATAAATTAGAGCACTTGCTAAACAACCGGCCATTAAGTGAGGACCACTTGTATTTGGTTTGCCAGTCACCTGGCCATGCCCACCCAGTCACATGACCACCAAACCACACCTACTCATTCACGTGACCAGCAAGCCACACCCTCAAATTAGGCCACGCACACAGAAATTTGAATCCCACCCCTGGGTAGGGGACACCGAGGATGAGTTTGTAACACCGGGGTGTGTGTGTGTGTGGACTGAACAAGTTTGGGAACCCCTGCACTAAAGCAACCAGAAATGTGAGTCTGCTACTCCAGAGTTCAGATAGAAGCAAAACTACAATAAACCAATGCCCCCCAATTGCCACCCCTTGCCAATGACTCAGCAAAATGCCAGGAGTGATGATATCAAATGTCACCAATAAGTTCAAAGAGACTAAGAGGGTCTCTATATTCAACTATATTTCAACAAAGGTCATTCACTATAGCTAACAATACCATTTTTGCCCCATGATTTGGGCCTGAATTCTGACAGATAATCTGTTTCTTCTAGGATCTTCCAATAACTGAGTTCCATCAAGGTAGCATTATTCACACCTTCAAAGAAGCATTAACAGCAGGGATGGGATTCTACAGGTTTGCACCTATTCACTAGAACCGGTTGTTAACATTCTAAGCAGTTTGGAGAACCAGTTGTTAGAAGAAATTACTGGCTTAATCCTGTAAGGAAGGCCTTTCCATTAACCTTTTTTACATGGTTGGCAGGAATAGACTTCCTGTCTCAGGAACTTCTCTGGAGTTTTTATTCCCTCCTTTGCTGGTACTTTGCATGTGTGGAATGGCCATTCAAAGTTACAATGGCACTGAAAAAAGTGACTTATGACTATTTTTCACAGTTACGACTGTTGCAGCATCCCCACAGTCGTGAGAGGCCAGACGAGGATATGCGTACCTCGATGTGAGTGATATTGAGTTGGCCACGCCCAGCCAATAACATGACCACCAAGCCATGTCCACCCAGTCACATGACCACCAAGCCATGCCCACCACCTAAGCCACACCCACAGAACTGTTCGTTAAAAACTTTGAATCCTACTCCTGATTAACAGTCTCCATGTTTAGTCACTCACATCCTACTGGCCATCCAAAAAAGCTGGAGAGATATGGATC